ATTAATTCTATTCCTTCTTTCCTTTCCTCTACCCCTCCCACTTGCCCTTCCCCTTTGCCCCTTTTCTTCCTATTTCACATTATCTATTATACCTTTTAGTCCTTATTTACACTTTCAGTTTCTCATACTAGAGAAACTATTTGGTATTTACACATGTGTGTCCTATTTATTTCACTTAAGAGTATCACCTCAATGTGCATCCATTTAGCTATAAATATCTCTCTAATTTCTCGGTTTTTTATGGCTAATACTCCATTTTATAAAAAAAGCCCACATTTTCTTTATCAAGTCTCCAGTTGATGGGCATTTGGGCTGTTTCCAAGTTTTAGCTATTACAAATTGTGCTGCTATGAACATGGGTGCACATATATCACTGTAGTATGATTCTTTTAATTCTTTGGGGAAGATACCCAGCAGGGGACTAGCTGGGTCAAATGGGACTTCCAGTCCTGGCAAAGCAGTACTCCATTGTGTATAAACATCACATTTTCTTTAACCGTTCATCTGTTGATGGACATATAGGCTGCTTCCAAGATTTAGCTATTACGGATTGTGCTCCTATAAACACAGGTATGCATACATTACTGTGTATGGTGTCTTTACCTCTCTTGGAAAGATACCTAGAAGGAGAATAGCTGGGTCAAATGGAATTTCTAGTTTTTTATTTTGGGAGGAATCTCTAGTATTATTTGTATAATTTAAAATTATGCATAATTATGCCATGTATAATTTAATTTGCAAACTTATATACAAATTAGGTCTTTTACAAAGGCAATGGCTTCCATATAGCTTACTCCCTATCCCCTGCTATATCTATGCCACAGGTGGGAAAGCAGGTTGAGAAAAATGACTTTCCAAGGCCACATGAGCCAGGAATTTGGGGATGGAAAAGGTATTAGCAGAAAAGTTAGAACTGCCAGCCTAGGTTGGGAAGATGGGAGGATTAAACAATCTTCATTTTCAAGACACCTACAACCTCATCCACAAGGCAGAGAGAGCCCCAGGATTTCAGGACAAAGTGGACTGGTCTGGCAAGAACTGAATTAACAAGTTAACACTTCTTGAGGTTTGAACATGTGCAGAGCAGTGTGCTAAAAGCTTTCCATGCAATAACTCATTTTATTCCCCTGGAACCTGTGGTGTAGGTACTACAATTATTACCCCCACTGTACAAGAGGTAGGCCAAGGTACAGATGGGTTAAAGAATGTGGAGTTAGGAAGTATTGGAGGCTAAATGGAAGCAGTCTCAGTTCAATGCCCTCCCCCTTTTTAAAGGAGGGGTTTGCAAGCCAGGGATCATTAGGGGAGAGAAGGCACCAGTGTCCCCTCTCCTGTGGTCCCCAAGCAGTGGCACGCCAAGAACAGTGTGCATTGGCTCTCCATTCCGGGGGGGCGGGGTCCTCCCAATGCTCTCTCTTCTTGCAGGTCAAACAGGAGAATAAGCTTATCTGTGAAGAGATACACAAGCGGCAGACTGGAAGGGAGATTCCACCGTATTTGTAGTAGTTACAGAAAATTTCAAACATAAGCAAAGGTAAAGAGGAAAGTACAATGAACACGATCTTTCAGAATGATTCCGGTTTAGACCACTATGCTCCACAGGAAAGATTCTCCTAGGAGACACTGGAGCTTGAGGAAGTCCAGCCTCCCTTGTGGTGGGGAGGGCTGGGCTTTAGGGGCAGGAGGGTGATGTGCTGATCCCAGAGGAAGGGCTCGTCGGAAGGCCAAGAGGCCCTCAGCCTACTCAGCACTGCCCACACAGGTTATCCCAGTCACAGACCAAGGGATAAACTGGAACTGAGAGCTGCTTCTTTTATTTTTTAATTGAGATACCTACATGTCATAAACTGTACAATTGAGGTCTTGGTACTCACAGAGATGCGCAACTATCACCACTATCTAATTCTAGTACATTTTTATCACCTCGAGGGAGCCCCACATGCATTAGCAGTCACTCTCTATTCCTTTCTTCTCTTACCCCTGGCAACCACTTGTGTACTTTCTGCTCCTATGGATTTGCCTATTCTTGTTATTTCTTATAAATGGAGTCATGCAGTGTGTGGATTTTTATGTCTGGCTTCTCTCACTTTAGCATCATGTTTTTCAAGTTCATCCGTGTTGCAGCATATACCAGTATTTCATTCTTTGTGATGGCTGAATAATATGTACACTGCTTTTTGTTTATCCATTCATCCATTGATGGACATTTAGATTGGGCCACTCTGAATAATACTTGTGTGTGAATGCAAGTTTCTCTGTGGACATGCTTTCATTTACCTCAGTTATATACCTAGAACTGACATTTCTGGGTAATATTTTAAGTTTTTTTCCCCCCCTCTCTGATGCTGGGGATCAAACACAGAGCCTTGTGTACACTAACTACAAGCTGTACTACTGAGCTACATCCTCAGCCCATGCCTAACTTTTTGAGGAACTGCTAAACTGTTTTCCACAATGACCTTTCCATTCTCATTAGTGATTAATGAGGATTCCAATTTTCCCACATCCTCACCACTTTATATTTTCCAATTTATTATTATTATTATTGGTTTGTTGAGGCAGGGTCTCCCTATGTAGTTTAGGCTGGGCTTGAACTCACTGTGTAGCCCAGGCTGGCGTCAAACTCATGGTACTTCTCCTGCCTCAGTCTCCTGTGGTGTACACCACCACATCTGGCTAATATTTTCCTTTTTAAAAGAAAAGGTAGTCATACTAGCAGATGTGAAGTGATAACTCATTGTACTTTTGATTTGCATTTCCCTGATAACTAATGATGGTGGGTATCTTTTCCTGTGTTTATTGGTCATTTGAAGAAAATACTTATTCAGATCCTCTGTCCATTTTTCAGTTGGGTTGTATTTTCCCTGTTGAGTTGTAGGGGTTCTTTATATTTTTGATCCTTATCCAATATATGACTTGAAAATATTATCTCCTATTCTGTGGGTGGTCTTTTCACTTTCTTGTAAATGCTCTTTGAAGTACAATAGTTGTTTTATTTTAATAAAGTGGAATTTATCTATTTTTTCTTTGATTTCTTGTGCTTTTGTTGTTATATCTAAGCAACTCAAGGTTACAAAGAATCATGCTATGCTTTCTTCTAAGAGTTTTATAGTTTTAGATCTTACATTTATGTCTGAATTGAACTGATTTGTATGTGGTGTGAGATAGGGTAGAGTTTCTTTTGGGCATCTGTTTCTCTCTCACCTCTCCAGTGCCACAGCTACACAAGAATGACATCATGCTGTTACTCTCCAACAACTGGCATTGGTGGGACTCCCATTTTCAATCTCTGGCCCAGAACTGAGATAGCAGGCTTGAAACACTTCCATGTGGGTAACATTTGATAGCTCAAACTTCATTCCCTATCTGATTGTCTTAGCTACTTTCTCATCTCTGAGGCACAATACCTGACACCCACAACTTCAAGGAGGAGAGGTTTATATTGGCTCACAGTTTGTAGCAGTTTAAGTCCTTAGTTCAATTTATGGCAGGGTGCATGGCAGAGAAGAAGAGCTTATGGCTTGCCAGCAGGAAGTAGAGAGAGATCAATGAAGGAAAGAAGGAGGGAGATATGCCCTTCCAGGCCAGTGGATACTGATCCACTGATGAGTATCATACCCCCATGGTCCAATCACTTCCCCAAAGCCTCACCTATAAGCACATGAGGCTTTGGGAAGACATTTATATATAAACCATAACACCAATCTTTTGTCCAACTTTAGATGTGAATAAACTCACTTGGAAAAGGAAAGTGAGTGTTTGAAATTCTTCAGAACTCACATGATGGAGTCAAAATTTGAGCCTGGAAGAGATAACCCTGGAAAAAGAGAGGGAAGTCCTAGGTGGTAGTCACAGCTCTGCCTCCTTATAATTGTGTGAATTTACAAGCTACATTTCTCTTGGGGTCTCAATCTCATCTTCTGCAGGTAAAGGAGTTGTCCTTGGAAACTTTCAATAGTACTAACTTATTGATGCTCAGTGCTCTGTACTTTACCACCTCTAAATCTTTCAATGACCTTCAAGGCAGGTGCAATCTTCATACCTCAGGACAGGAAATGAAGACCGCAGCTGATAACTCAGCTTGGAAATGTGAAGTGTGGGCCAGAAACCTGTGTTTTTCCTCTCAGCCATTCTACCTCTCCAAGTCAAACATTCTTTCCTCATGGCATTGCTGTAGGTGAAACTATTTCTTCATTGTCAATAGCTTTATTGAGCACCTACAACATGCCAAACCCTATTCTAGGAGAGAATATTAAAACAGAAAACAAGACAAGACAAACCCTGCTCTCACAGGTTGTATTCTGCACAGAGCGGGGGGTCAGAGCAAAGAAACGACAAAAGCAACAAACTAAGTGATGTATGACTAGCACGACGGGGGTGGTCGTGGGAGCCTTCTTAAGAGATGATATTTTGGGTTTGTTCACAGCCAATGCACTAAAAGCAGTCAAAAAACAATAAACACAAAAAAGAGATGATATTTGCGTGGAGACCCGAATAATCTGAAGGAGGCTTATGCAAGAAAATGTGGTGGGAGTCTGTGCGGAAAAGATGAGGCAAAGGCTGGAGGGATCCAAGAGCGTGTAAGAGACTGAATGAGGTAACATAGCCCAAAGGCAAGTAAAGGCCATGGGATTAAGTTAGTGAGAGGAGCTTTCACTGTACGGCCAATATGTGCCAGCAACTGGACTGGGCACCTAGCATTAAGTAATATGTTAAATACAACGTACATGCACAAGGCACTCACTATCTAGAAGGCGACAGAGAGAAGATGGTTTTTCAGCTGATGAAAACGGAGCGTCCAATCACAAGTTGAAAAATTAATTCTTATTCATGTTTTTGCAAATGTGTCCTGTAGGTGCAGAGATATTGCCATAGGAGATCACAGAGATATCCAGATTAGGGCGCCGGGTTAATTTTTCCTTTTCAGCCTCTATGGTTTCGCGCCTCCTCCGGGCGCTAGGGTGCGCTGCAATGTTTCTCAACTGGTTGGTGCTGCGCTCTCCCCTACTTCCCTTCTCCCTGTCAGCACTTTCGGTGTCTGACACAAGCAGGGATCGGGGGCCGCGGGCGCCGGGGGCCGCGGGCGCCAGTGTCCCAAGGCATGGCGGGGCCGGGCCCGGGGGAGGTGCGCATGGAAAAGGCTGGGGCGTCCCTCGCCCCGGCCCCTCGAGCCAGGACCTGACAGGTGAGGACCTATCCTTTTTGGCCTAGCCTCCAAGCCGGCCAGATGTTCCCCGGGAGGCTCCTCCCCGCATGACATCGAGGCCCCTCGACCCCCGCCATCCCTCACTGTTCTCTTCCCATTGAGGCCCCGCCCCAGGCTTTGCTTTCCGGGGGCGCCCCCTTGGGCGTGTGTGTCCGCCCCTTGGCATCTTTTTCTCTTTCTAGAAGCCATCGCAAGGAATTGAGGGATAGGTGCACTTTCTCTCAATGGGGAAATTGATACCTAGCACGAGGAAAGAACTTAGTACCACACAGTGAGTTAGTGGCCCGATTCAGCCAGGCTTTCTTAACTTCTTCCATTCCATAGGTGACCGAAATGGCTACCATGTGCCAGTCCCAGTGCTGGGCTTTGGAGTATATCGATGTGAACAAAGTACCCATAGTTATTTCCTGTGTGGAGGGTACAGTTTAGCAGGAGAATCAAACATTAAACACAACCACGCCAAGTGAAAGTATAAACACAAGTTGGCACATTTACTGTGGAGGAGACAAACAACGACCTCTTGATTTAGATAGGGTGGGCATGGAAGACTTCCTGAAAGAAATGATACTTGAGCTGCAATTTGAAAAGTTATGACATGGGCCAGGGGGAATACATTTGAGAATGCCTGAGTCAGTCAGGCCCAGTGTTTAAGAAGGGGACTTGCTCTGTGTCAAAACACTGGTGAGCACATGGAATATAATGTTTGTGTACTGGACCCCTAATGAGCATAAGTAAAATACAGAGGCAGAGTTGCACATGTAACAGTAGGTGAAGGAGAGGTATGGCTACTATATTGGGATTTTATTTAATGGAAAAGTGAAGGAACCCCCCCTGAGAAAGTGATGATTAAGCTGATAGGTGAAATAGAGGTTAGCAAAGCCAGGAAGGGCCAGATGGGAAATATTGTAGGCCATGGGCCTTGTGGCCTTGCTCTCAACTATGCATTCTCCACAGGGGAAAAGGAGGTGTAGGCAGTATGTAAATGAATGGGTATGGCTGTGTTCGTATGAAATTTTATTTACAAAAACAGGGAGCAGAGCTGGACTTGGTGGCATACACATAAAATCAGAAGTTTGAGGCCAGCCTGGCTAACAGTGAGACCCCATCTCGAACAAACAAACAGGGAGGTGGTCTAGATTTGGCCTGAAGGTAGTAGCTTACAGGGGCTTGACCACTGAGCTACATCCTCTTCCCCCATTGTGGTTTTGATTTACATTTCTCTTATGATTAATGATATGCATCCTGTCATTTGTGGTTTTGGCCTTTTGTGTGTCTTTGGAGAAATGTGTATTCAAGTGCTTTGCCCATTTTTAAATTGGGTTTTATGAATTTTTGTTAAATTCCAGGAGTTCTTTATGTATTCTAAATATTAACTCTTTTATTATTTTGTTTTGGTTTTTGAGACAGGGCCTTGTTATGTAGTTCAGGTTGGCCTTGAACTATGCAGCCCAGGCTGGCCTTGAACTTGCAGTAATCCTCCTGCCTCAGACTCCTGAATGCTGGCATTACAGGTGTGCATCATCATACCCAGAGTCTAGATATTAACTCTTTATTAGATATATAATTGGCTAATACTTCCTGTCATTCTATAGATTGCTTTTTCACTCTGTTGAGTCCACTGAATGTCTTTTGATGCACAGAAGTTTTGAAGTTTGATATATTTCTGTTTGTCTATTTTTTGTAGTCTGTACTTTTTGGTATACTATCCAAAAAAAAATCATTGCTAAATCCAATGTCATGAAGCTTTCTGCTGTGTTTTCTTTTAGGAGTTTTATAGTTACAGGTCTGATGGTTAGTTCTTTAATCCATCTTGAGTTAATTTTTGCAGATGGTTATAAGGGTCCAACTTTATTATTTTGCAAATAGCCATTTGATCACATATGTGAAGGTTTTTTCCTGAGCTCTCTATCTGTTCCACTGGCCTATGGCTTTTTATTCCAGTACCAGGCTTTTTAGATTACTGTGGCTTTGTAATATGTTTTGAAATGAGGTAGTAGAGCACTCCAATTTTGCTATTTTTCAACATTATTTAGAGTCTCTTTAAGATTCCATACAAATTTTAGAATGAATTTTTCTATTTTGCAAAAAATGACATTGGGATTTTGATGAGGATTGCATTAGATCTGCAGATTACTTTAGGTCATCTGACCATCTAAGCAGCCTGGTAATTATTTTTGTTTGTATGAATGCACATGGAATGTGATTGTTATACTGTTCAAATGTGAGGCACTTCTGTGTTTATTCTGTTGACCACTCCTGTTACCCATGCATGCTTAGAAAGCATTCCTTGTGAATGACATCATTTCCTCACACCTATTTCTAGCCTTAGAAATGTCAGTACCACTTTCTGGTAATTTGGGAAGGAGAGATGCTGGTTACTGTCAAGTTGGGAATAAAAAGAGAAGTCTCTTTGACTTGTGTATATTTATGTAATTTTTTTCTTTTTTTTTTCTTTCTTAACTTGTACTATATTTTCCATGCAGAGATGTGATAATGGATCACGTTTCCACCATCAAACCTCGAAGAATCCAAAACCAGAATGTCATTCACCGTTTGGAACGTCGGCGGATCAGTTCAGGCAAGGCAGGTACCCACTGGCACCAGGTCCGAGTGTTTCACCAGAATGTCTTCCCCAACTTCACAGTTGTCAACGTTGAAAAGCCTCCTTGTTTCTTGCGTAAATTCTCACCTGATGGACGCTACTTTATTGCTTTTTCTTCTGATCAGACTTCCCTTGAAATCTATGAGTACCAGGGCTGCCAAGCAGCAGAGGACTTACTACAGGGCTATGAGGGGGAGATCCTGTCTAATGGCAATGACCAGCGGTCAGTCAACATCCGGGGCCGGCTCTTTGAACGCTTTTTTGTCTTGCTGCACATTACCAATGTTGCGGCCAATGGTGAGCACCTGAACCGGGAGTGCAGCCTTTTCACCGATGACTGCCGGTGTGTCATCGTGGGCTCTGCGGCCTATCTCCCGGATGAGCCTCACCCTCCGTTCTATGAGGTGTATCGGAACAGTGAGTCAGTCACCCCAAACCCACGGTCCCCACTAGAGGACTATTCCCTGCACATCATTGACCTTCACACTGGCCGCTTGTGTGATACACGCACATTTAAGTGTGATAAAGTGGTTCTGTCACACAACCAAGGGCTATACTTGTATAAAAACATCCTGGCCATCTTGTCTGTGCAGCAGCAGACCATCCATGTCTTCCAGGTGACCCCTGAAGGCACTTTCATTGACGTGCGGACCATTGGCCGCTTCTGCTATGAAGATGACCTGCTCACGGTGTCAGCTGTCTTCCCTGAGGTACAGCGGGACAGTCAGACAGGCATGGCCAACCCCTTCAGGGATCCATTCATCAACTCCCTGAAACACCGGCTGCTGGTTTATCTGTGGCGCCGGGCAGAACAGGATGGCAGCGCAATGGCCAAGAGGCGCTTCTTCCAGTACTTTGACCAGCTGCGGCAACTGCGCATGTGGAAAATGCAGCTTCTGGACGAAAACCATCTGTTTATCAAGTATACCAGTGAAGACGTGGTGACACTGCGGGTCACAGATCCATCTCAGGTATGGGGTGAATTCTCCTGCCCTCTATGCCGTCTATCTCCTTGGAGATGGGAAGGTTTCTCTGGTGCCGCTAGCTTACCTGTCGGGAGTACACATTTTATGTAGTCTAAATAGTTGGTGTCCTGGGGCCCAAACTTAAAATCAGCTTCATTTTTCTCTGCCCACTTGCTTTGATCTGGACACATGGAAGCCAGATCTCGAGCCATTGGTGTGTAGTCAGTCACCTGTGTGATTATTGTTCTCATTCTTCTGGGGAGCATTCTCAGTGCCCTTGAGATGGAAGCCCAGATCTTGTTAAGGTCAAAGCTTGACTACTTTTGAATAATTCTGGCTTGATTTTGTAAGACTCTGCTTACTGGGCTGGCTCCTTGGGTGCTGGCAATGAGAATGAGCACTGTAATGCAAAAAAGAAAATCCTTTAAAAATCTAAAAACTTCTGTCCCTTTTCATCCTTAATTTCCCAGTCTGCCTTGGATGGAAGGCTGGTAAATGTTTGTGTAAGTTCATATTCACATAATTATGAGAGATCTTAGTAAAACCATGATATAATTAAACCCTGTCCAGGACTACAGAGAAGGCGTGAGTCAATTTTTTATTTAGGCTTGAGCTACAGTTACCCGTAAGCAAGTTGTCTGTGATCACTGCACTTGAGATTATCCTTTTTTCCTTTGCTAACAGGTGACCATTTTTTTTTTCTGGTAGCTACAATAAGTTGTAGCTAGAAATACTATTAAGACTCTGTCCTTTAGTCGGTGAGTTTGTAACTCTAAACCCAAGCTCCCTGCCCCCGTTGGCCTCCACACCCCTCCCCTGGTTTAATTTGATAGGTTCCAATAAGGTCAATGTGTAAAAAGTGAATCTAAACACAAAGCCTTGATAACATTATGGGTATTATTCTCAGGTTGCCCTCTAGCCTTTTTAATTTAAAGCCAAATTTAATTTCCAGGTGACTGCAAAAGTGATGAAATAGGACCTCTGGGAAGGACTGATTACCAGTACAACAGGTGGGCCAAATGGCTCCAGAAATTGGTAATGGAGATTTAAATTCAATCAGAGAAGGCGAAGTACTAATCCCAGTGTTCTGAAAACTTCTAGAGTCCTGTTGAGAGCTTGCAGAATAATTCACACTGCTGCATTCACTGTAATAAAGATTAGGGGTTCCTGGGACTTCCTGTTAGGCAGAGCAGAGCATTGGAGTTTTAAAGGAAGAGGGCTGGTCACCCAGGGGCCCATTCAGAAAAACTGGTAGCTCTGCCACCTATGGCATCTGAATGCTTTTCAGGTTCCCCCTCTGATCTTAATTGCTCCAAATCTCAAATGTATTTTACAAATGTGCTTGGCAGAAAGAACATTTATGAAGGAAGAAATGGAAAATGCCTCTCTGATTTTTCATTTGTTCAGCAGCAGTACCCTGTGTGGGTACAACTTGCCTGAGCAGTTTTAGCACAGTGTACTTAAGGTGTCTCTCTGCATGTTAGAAATATTAAGAGGGAAAAATAAATACCCCTGAATTGAACTTTCAACTGTACACATAGAAGAGAAAATCATTTGCCAACAGGCAGCCCTAGGCTGCAAATCTCTTTCTCAGTGGGAAAGAAAATTAAATCTGGCATTTTAAAAGAAGTATTTCTTTTTTTATGTCAGGGCAGATTGGGGAGCAAGTAAGGAATAAATACTTGGAAGGAAAAATATTGAATTTGCACAGTTTGAATTGAAGGATTGAAAATCTTTTTATACACATGTGCTGTCCAACTTGGTAATTCTAGCAGGACAGAAGCAGTGGGAAGTCTGTCAACATTGAGGCTCTGGATTGATAAAACCTTTGATGCTTCCTGTCCCAGAGTCACTGGGAAACAAGCTTCCACCCTGGTGCTAAAGTTGAGGTACTCATTTGTTTTATTTGGGTGGCATGGATTGTAAGCCAAGTGATGTTTCCTAGGCATTTCTTTACACTTAGCTGTTTCTTAGCACTCACTTTTATTCTTCAGGCGTCTTTCTTTGTGGTGTACAACATGGTGACAACTGAAGTGATTGCTGTGTTTGAAAATACGTCGGATGAGCTTTTGGAGCTCTTTGAGAACTTCTGTGATCTATTCCGCAATGCTACTCTGCACAGTGAAGTCCAGTTTCCCTGTTCAGCCTCTAGCAACAATTTTGCAAGGCAGATCCAGCGCCGGTAAGTTCTTCCACCAGGCTTAGCAGACCTAACTTTTTTTTTTTAAGAAAATTTGTTGGGGTTAGGCCCATAAAATTACCTCCAGGACCCTTTCTCTTCTTCCTGCCCACCTGGCCTTGGTTGGATCCGCCTGTTACTGTAACCAGCCCTTTGTGTTGTCCTGAACTTCTGCCTATCTCGTAACACTTGTGAAATTATTTGTGTATCGGATCCTTGCTAGATCATATGCGAGCTGCAGAAAGATACTATGTCTGTTTATTGCTTAGTCCTTAGTGGAGCATGGTCAATTTGTTGAATGAATAATTAAGGAAATAATTTTAGAACTTTTTGTTCAATATGCACATGCATTTATCTCTGTTCTTTTGCAAACTCCCCTAACATGACAATAAAAAAATAAAAAATTCAAACCTATAAGAATAGAGAGAATGAGAGAGGAGACAAATGGAGATAGGAGATATTAATAAAGTTTTAGAAGCTAAAAAGCCAATGGGTGAGTCATAACTAACCTAGCAAACTGAGAGCTGTAGAATTTAGTCATCAAGAAACAAGCTTGCCTTATGTAAACTGGAGAACTCTGGAAAGGATCAGGAAGTTGGAGGCCAGGGTACCTCTGAAGGTACCTGTGAGGTAGGCTGAAATCAGAAAGACTGGTAAATTCTTAAAGAGTAGCAACCAGATCCTTTAGAGCCCTCTCCTAGACTTAAAATAGCCAAGCCACTGTCCTTTCCCCTCCTGAACAAAGGGTTGCAAGTTAATTCTTTCAACAAATTGAACCAGGTTCATGAGGCAGAGCTGAGAGTGGAATCAGACACATCATGCTAAAAACAGGAATTAAATGAAAGTGACATTTCACAGGGCAAGACTCCCATTCTGCTTCCCAGATACAGCATCCAGGCTTATAGCCCCATGCAGGAGATCAGAGATTTTTCTCTAGGAAAGTGGACCAACCCAAATAAGAGACTTTCAAATACTGACACTTGGAGTTCTTTCACAAAATACCCAGGCCACTCTAAATTGATGATACCAGTCAGCAAAGTCCTCTTCTGAATCAGCTTTTAACAATTATCTTAGTTCATTACTATGAAAGGAATGGTTCCTTTGGGATAAGAGCCCAAGCTAAATTCTGCTCTTGTCAGACATGGCCTCTTTGGGTTTTACACACCTAAATTGTTCTAGCCTTAACCAGGAATGGAAGATTTTTGCTTTAGGTCCCAAGATAGGCCAGACCACAGTGAGTGGGTGAATCAGAATAAGCATTACTGCTGTTGGAAAAAGTGAGCAAAGCAATAGCTTAATGTACTGGTATCATATTTATACAAAAAGACTACTTAATTGGAAATAGAAGAATATTGATACTCAGATGGATGGCTTGCTATTTCCTTTTTCTCTGGTATGCATAAATCTTCTGCCTTACTAGCAATTCTGTTCAGTATAGAGTTTTTGGCAGTAGAACATGGCTCAGATTTTGCTTTATTCATTATGGAATGAATTCTATTCCTCCTCTTCCTCTTCCTCCTCTCCTTCCTCCTTCCTCTTCTTTTCTCCTCCCTCCTCTTGTTCTTCTTCTTTTTCTTTTTTTCTGGTGGTGGTGGTGAGGATCAAGGCCAGGAATGAAGGTAAGCTCATGAAGGCAGGAACTTTCGTCTGTTGTATTCACTGCCGTGTCTGCAGCACCAAGGCCAGTGCCTGCAGTGTGGAAAGATCTCCTCGGTGTCTGTTGAATGGTTGAAGGACATGGACAAAACGGTTTTCTGAAAGGTATTTCAGAATACCTCTGGAATTAAGGAAAACTGCAAGAAGCCCCTGGAGGAGAAAATAAAGGTTGAAAAGAAAGGATGTATATTCGTGTGCACTGATCTTCAAAGAAAATTTTGCTTCAAACTACCAAAGGATTCTGAAAAGCTATAGATTCCCTCAGACATTTTTAAACTGAATTCTCAAGATTTTAAACTATTATTCCTGAATTTTAAGAGGTTTTAGAAGATGGTATTTTTAGTGTATATTAAACATTGACATTTAAAAATAAAAGTAATGCTCAATCCCCAGAGCCACAAAAAAACCTTATTACAATCCATTTTAAGTATAGCCAAAGCAGTCTAAAGACCATGGTATTTTGGTGTTCAAGTTATTTGATATAAAAAATACAGAGCAAATTATTCCTAGTTTATTGGAAAATTTACATTGTTTCTTCATATCTTCAAATTCACGTATCACTCTGCCTCACCTACAGAAATGTATCCTAACATATTTTGTTGACTACACTATCATACTTTGCTTTGTTGAAAGTAGTGTATATATATGTCAAATTATTTTTTATATATTGTGAACACATGGTTCAAAATGCTGAATTTTATGTAATTTTTTGATTAAAATAAAGGAAGATGAGTCCCTCATGGGTCCAAAAGTTTAAAAAAAGACACTAAGGATGAGAAAGAAAGTCTTTATCTTAAAAGAGACCAAAACTAAACAGAGTAAGGAACAAAGAGAACAGAAATAATGCTGCATTTACTGAAACAATTCAACGTGTAAGAACAGGAACATCCCTAGAAGTGAGAAACTCTTGGTAACTTAAAATGTATTAGATATATTTGAGGAACTCTATATGAAAATAGAATAAAAAGATATGAGAAATAAAAAGTAAAAAGAAACATTAGAGGATCTGCCCATGAAAGCCAGTATGTGGCTAATTCCAGAAGAAGTAATAGGGAAAACAAAGGTGAAGAAATATAGTGAGCAATTTTCTAATACCTAAGGACCTAACTTCCCTGATTGGCTGGGCCATCCGGTGCTTACTGGAAGTGGCTCACGCTGGTTCATGGGAGCCAACTATTAACTCTCAGGTATTTTTGCAAGCTGGTCACTAAACACGTCATAATCCTCGCAAGCACATGATCCTGAGTTTGATCCCTGGTACCAAAAACAAACAAAAAAACACATCATAATTAAAAATTCATTATTTGCTAAGAAACTATGGGGAATAACTCAAATCTCTTTTATACAAACACAACTATTAACATCTTAACATATTTCTGGCAGTCTTTTTTTTTTTAAGCTTTTGTTTTCTTTGTGTTTTTATATTACATTATAGGCAGAATTACATAGCCCACTTCTTTTGCTTACCATTAAGATGAAGATTTTTCCTGTTACCATGTAATCTTTAAAAATTGTAGTTTTCCATTAGGTTTTAAAAGTTTTCATTGTCTTAGCCAAGACAATACTGACTGTGCGCAGAGATTTGTCGGCCTGTCCGAGTGCTTTCTTCTGATAAAGAGTAGCAGGTAGGTGAGATATGCGACTGTGTGTCTGTCACTATTCTCCCGGATACTGGTGTTTCTACAGTACTGTGTAGGTAGCTGGTTCCCAAACTTTATTTAAACACAGTATGAGTAGTTTGTCCAAGCGTCTGGGGGGAGTGGCCTCTTAACTGATCCTGGGAAGAGTCAGACAGGCAGCTTCTGCTCCAGATTCCCTGTGCTCCTTCACTCCTTCCTAATTCAGTCTATTATTTGAGGAAAGTAAGTTCTTGACTTTCTTTTCCTAGTTGAGCTGTTATTGAAAAAGAGTACAAATAGTTGTTGTAGAACAGTTACATTGTCTTAAACATCTTTGTAGAGTCTGTGTGAACATCTGTACAGTAATTTAATGTCGCATTTCTATTTCCTGCATTTTAGGAGTCTGTAGCTAGCTAGACTCCGATGTGTAAAGGAGTTCTGTCTTTATTCAATACCTAGGGTTAATTTTATTTACAGAACAAATAGTGGTGTTTAGATACATGTTTGTCAATTTAAAACCCGAGGGAGCTGCAGAGAATGCCTTCCTCACAGGTGCTTTGATTTAGGTTCAAAGACACAATTATAAACGCCAAGTATGGAGGGCACACGGAAGCAGTGCGCCGGCTGCTGGGTCAGCTCCCCATCAGTGCCCAGTCCTACAGCGGCAGCCCCTACCTGGACTTGTCCCTCTTCAGCTACGATGACAAGTGGGTGTCAGTCATGGAGCGACCCAAGACCTGTGGAGACCACCCTATCAGGTACTGTGTCACTGCCTCAGCTGCAGGACTGCACACGGGCTTGGGATGGCCTGCTTTCTCGCCCTCTCTCCTCAGACTTCATTCATGGGGCTGTCTCCTGTGCTCTTGGATAGACTGAAAGGGTAGGTTGTCTCTGGAACGTGGTGAGTACTTTGGTCACTGAGATACTAGTCTCAGAAATTAATTGTTCCTACTCTTTACTTCCCATCAGAACATCTAATTCAGACAGGTGTTTTCCCCTTTCAGAGGTACCAAGGGAAAGAAATACTACTTTCCCATTAATAATCTAATACCATTCCATAATAGTTTTTTTTTTTTGGTACCGGGGATTGAACTCGGGACCTTGTGCTTTTGAGGCAGGTGCTGGAACCACTGAGCTAAACCCCTGGCCTAAAGTTTTTTTTTTTTTTTGCAGTACCAGGGATCGAACTCAGGACCTTGCACTTGCAAGGCAGGTGCGGTGCCACTGAGCTAAATCCCCGGGCCTTCATAATAGTTTTATAGTTGAGACTTCATTATTATATGGGACTCAATTATTTTATGCCTCATGTTACCTGGTAGAAAAGATAGTAGAGATAGTTTGAAAAGTGCGCAGACTTAGGGGAGAACTGTGGTTCCTCTCAGAGGGATGGTGGAATGTAGACTGCTAAGTGGCTTGCTGGGACCTTGAAGCCAACCCCTTAGTTCCCTTAGTTGGGTTTGCAGACCCACCTGTCTCCATAGCCCGTGGTGTACCAGCTGCAAGGAAGGGGAACTGGCACCACTGTTGCTAATAGGGTTGTCTAGCGGGAGGGGTTTGTGTTCCTGGAACCCTAAGCATATAGAAACTGGTGGCTTGATCTTGAGAGTAGACGTCTTTCATTGTTCAACTTTACTGTGCACTAAATAGGCCTGGGTAAGCCAGGCTTGGTGGTGCATGCCTGTCAGCCCAGCACTTGGGAGGCTGAGGCAGGAGGATCACCGCAAGTTTGAGACCAGGCTTGGCTAGATACCGAATTCAAGGCTAACCTGAACTACATAGCAAGATCCTGTCTCAAAAAACCAAAACTAAATAGGTCTGTGTAACATACTGTATACCATTAATCACCGTTCCTTTGGGAGTTTGCAGTCACATTCCAAACACCAATTAAAAGAAATTCTTACCACAGAAAGTTTTAAACCTACAGGAAAAACAGAAGAGTGTGACCACCCTCTGTGTGAGTGGTTGTCACCTGGTGACCAGGCTTGCTCCATCTCCCCACCACCACCACTTCCTTCCCCACTGCTGCCCTGGATTATTTTGTAGCAAATCCCAGTTACCCAAGCATTTTACCTGTAAATATTTCAGTATGAACTTCTAAAAGACAAGAGTTTTAAAATGCAATAACAAACAGGGTGTGATGGCACACACCTCTAATCCCAGCACTGGCAGGCTGAGGCAGGAGGATCCCAAGTTCAACTCAAGCCAGGGTGACTTGACCCTGTCTCAAAAAACAAAAGAAAACAACGAAAAAAAGCTAGGGATTTAGCTCAGTGTGAATGCCCTGGGTTTGATCTCCAGTACCTAAAAAAAAAAGCAACAACAGAATTCCTTAGAATATTATCCCATTTTGAGAAAATTCATCAAAACTTACTAATACCACCAAATAGCCAGTTTTCACCTTTGCCTGTTGTCTCGTAAATATTCTTTCACAGTTCATTTGTTCCTGTCAGGATCTAAATGGCGTTCCTGCATTGGTGTTTGGTCATTGTTCCCTTAAGTCTTGTTCTGTGGGTTCTCCTTCCTTTTTATTTCCCATGCAGTGGGATTGTTGAAGAGGCCAGCTTATTCATCCTGTGGTGTCCCCACATTCCGGACTCTGCCCATTGCCTCCAGTATTTCTCATTCCTGCGTATCTCCTGTAAACTGAGGCTTAGAAGCCTAAGCAACTCACATTAACTGACCAGCCCTTTGTGTGTCGGGGGACGGTGTGGGTAGGGTGAATGTGCTTTTCACACATACAAACACATAATAGGCCTCATTTGATATACTCAAGTGGCAGGAGATAACATTTCTGTCCTCTCCGACTTCCCTGCCTGCTCATTTGAAAAGATGAGCCTAAGTAACACATCTGGCAATGCCATTGCCTATGACTAAAGGAGTTTTTCCGGTAAGGATATTAAAGGCATCGGAAGAGGTAGTGCCATTACTCTAGCCCTTTTATGATTGGTCTTTGTCAGTATGCCTGTTTATATTTATATAGTTGTAATTATGGTTAGTGTCATAGTTTGTACCCTGCTTTTATTCCATAAATGTTTTTCCATTTTGTTATATCATCTTCACAATTACAGACCTAATGACGGCATGTTATCCCATTAAGTAGATGTGTCATAATTTTTTTAAGCATTCCCCTATTACTGACCATTTATTCTTTTTATGCATTTTTACATTAGAGTGAATGTTATAGTAGCCATCTTTTTTTTTTTTTTTCCTTCGAAATGGATCTCACTGTGTTGGCTAGGCTGGTCTCAAAACTATAGGTTCAAGTGATCTTCCTGCCTCAGCCTTCCAAGTAGCAGGGACTGCAGGTGTGTGACACTGTCCCCAGCTTATAGTAATCATTTTTAATCATGTCACTACTTCATTTAACTTAAATTCTGAGGATAGAATTTGGGGAATAAGATTATTTCACTGTCTGCTTATATATTTGCTTTCCAAAAGGGAAATTATAGAGCTATGTAATTCAGGGCTGTTCATGTCCAAGAACTTTTCCCTGATTCAGCCCCGCCTGCTAGTCATCTCTAGTTCCTTTAACCACAGGTCATTTACTTTGCATATGAGAAAAGCTGTTTAAGTAGCAGGATGCATGGAAGTATCTTTAGTCTCACTGTATTAGATGAAAAATTAAAAATGACTTAGTATTTTGTTTCTTTGAATGAAAAAGAACTTCCAAAAAAATTTCTTCTTAAAAGTGAAAACTCATAAAGATGGGCCTAGAGCCACACTGCCCTATGTGGTGGCCACTCACTTAAAATGAGGTAAATCAGGGACAGGGATTTAGCTCACTGGTGCCGCCGCCTGCCTCATAGCACAAGGTCCTGAGTTTGATTCCTGGTACCAAAAAAAAAAAAAGAAAAAGAGGCAAATCAGAGTTTAGATGTATTTAAGTGTCATGTCAGGTTTCAGACATTTAGTAAAAAGAAAAAAATAGGTGAAATAGCTCGTTAATATTTTTATGCTGATTATAGGTTGAAATCATAATATTTTGGATATATCAGATTAAATAAAATATATTATTAGAATTAATTCCATCTTTCTTTTTTACTTTTAAAAATGTGGCTATCTGGAAATTTAAAATTGTACCTGTGTCTTAGATTTGTGGGTTGTATTTCATTTCTAGCCCTGACCTGCACAGTTATTAGGCAGGAACCCATGGAAGTGTGGAGGCTGTAATTTAGGGTGTAATTGAGGTTCGTCTTGGGAAAGAGAAATGACTCAGAGTGACACAGGACAGCATAGTAAAAATTCATAATCATTGTCCTAAAGTACCAAGGTGATTATAGTTCTGTTAACTCTGGGCTGATTTATAGTGAATGAATCACCACATCCCCTGCTGTTCAGATTTCAAGGCAGCTATGAGTATCAATCCCATCCTCTCTTTCTCTCTCCTTTTTCTGTTTAGGTTCTATGCCCGGGACTCTGGCCTGCTCAAGTTTGAGATCCAGGCTGGCTTACTGGGCCGCCCCATCAACCACACAGTGCGACGCCTCGTTGCCTTCACCTTTCACCCTTTTGAGCCTTTTGCCATTTCCGTGCAGAGGACTAATGCGGAGTATGTTGTCAACTTCCACATGCGACACTGCTGCACGTAGGTGCCTCACCACAGCCAGGCTATTGGCCTTGCAGGACTTTGCCTGCTTCTTTACTCAGTGGACTCTGGGGCAGGAGAGCCTTCTGCTCAGCCCACCCTGTGGGCTCTAGGCTGGTGTGCCAGAGAGAGGAGTGGGGGTGGGAGGGAGCTCGGCCTAATGGGACTTCTGTTGTAAACAGTACTACTGCTGATCAATTTAAGGTCCTCTTGCCTTTTCCCTGTGGGAATGCCCAGCATTAATGAAATCTATTCAGTTTCTGTTTATTTAGTATTGTATTGCTGTGAAGATAAAAGCATTATCATCTTTCATCCCACTTCCTTGGCATTATGGTTTGTAGTCAGAAGCAGATAAATCTCGTTTACTCACGAGAGCTGTGTATGTCCTCTCTACTTACCCAATAAGCAGGCCTATCTTTATAAGAAAAAATTAAAGCCATGGTATTTTCTTACTTAAATGTATCCTGTTAGATGACTGTCTTATGTTCCTATTGCACCGATGGTTTTTGAGTATTGGGTTCCAGGTGGGACTGGAAGCGACGGCAGCTGCTCCTGAGAGCACTAAATGGTGAGGGCCAGCATGGAAGACAGTTATCTGCCAGGATGGTTCCCGAGGGTTTTCTCCTGGTAATTGTCACAGCTGGGGAGCGCGGCATAATTGCATGGTCTCATGTGGAAGCATGCTCGAGTCTGTACCATCTGTGTCGGCCAGGTGGGAGAGTGAGCAGCCCTCGCCGGCCATAGCGGAGACAAGCAATGTGTAGCACGTACTGTCCTTTGGGTCGGGGGAGCTGGCAAGCTCCAGGTGTCTCTAAAGAGATCACGTTGGTTGTCCCAGGGTGGCTGAGCTGTCACAGCTGTCCTACAGATACCTGATGGCCCTTAGCCCTCATCCTTTTGTCACAACCTCAACCAGTCTCTTCAGGGGGCTTGTCAGACTGTTTATGTTTCATCAGCATAGTGAATCCCCCAGTAATGCAGTCAGCTTGTTTAGCAACATCTGCCTTTGAAGGCAGATTTGAGATGTTGGGTTCCAGAGCAGGCTGTGAAAGGAGCTATGGATGCAGACAGCTGGTGCCTTATTCCCTGCACTGTCCCAACTTCCTTTGGGAGCAGAAGATGATACAAGTTGCTGAGCCCCACAAAAATAGTTTGGGTAATTTTATTCTCTTCAGTATTGAACAGCTGAATCCATTCTCTCTTAGCCTGCAATGCAAGATTTGAGCACCTACTATGAGTCAGGTAGACACTGCCAGGATGCTGAAGGATCATCATAATACAACTTGGCAAAAGCTTTAATAGTAACTCTCTAGGGGCTGGGGATTTAGCTCTGTGGTGCTGACGCCTGCCTCGAAAGCCCAGGGTCCTAAGTTCAGTCCCTGGTCCAAAAAAAAAAATAATAATAATGACTCTCTGAGGACAGTGGAGGGAGATGAAGGTAAAGGAAAGAAGAAGAGGTATCCTAGGGAAGGGATACTGGAAATCGGTAAATGGGAGTGTGTTGTGGTTGAGGCTATTTCAAGGAGAGACTGGCACACACAAAGGCACAGAAGAATGAACAGGGCTGTTGAGGTCGATAATGGTGGATAATCTAGTAGAGCCACAGCATAAACTGGGGTTGGGGGCAGGGAGATGTGCCTGACAGGAAGGCTGAGGAGACATCATGAAGAGAGGGGTTGTGCACAGTGCTAGGGCTTTATGTAGTGGAAGCGTAATGGGAAGTTCACTAGGTCACTCTCAGCAGTATAGAGAATGGTTCCCAGGGAAGAGACTGGGGAGAGAGAGGGCAGATGAGTCAGGCGGTCATGCAGAGAACGAGAGGGCCTGGACAATGTCACCAGGCCTCGGGAAGATGAAATACTCCGAAGGTCATGACGAATGCAGGGTCCCAAAGCTTGGGGACCTAATCGTTTATTAGTATCACTGTACCTTTTATATATTTTATATATTTTTTATATATCGTATATTAGTATCACTGTACCTTTCATTGGCGTGGGAGTTTTGTCACATGAACCAGACTTTTGCTACAGAAGTACTTTGCTTCAGCAAGTACCTGAGGACTTGGCAGAGTTGGTCAGGTCACTTGGGCCTCCATGTGAATTCTGGCCCTTCTGCTTATGGGCTGTGTGTCGACCAGCTGATTGCCTGTCCTCTCTGAGACTTAATTTGGACTTCCTTCCATCTCAGTCGTATATTCCCCTGGTCATGTCTTCCATCTCCCATCACCTCTGGTGCCCAGCTCTGACACATCTGTTCACCATGCCCCTCTCTGACCACACCCAGCAGCCTCTCACATGCCCACTGCACCCCACTGCAGACAGCTGCAGACTTTACTGGCCCTGCATCCTCAGCCCTACCTGGAGAAGGCTAAACTGTTGGAACCAAAAGTCCCAATGCTCTGATTCAAATAAAAAGAGTTTGTTTTGGTTTCGGTTAATTTTTGGTTTTGTTTTGATCTCATGTCACTCCAAGAAGATGCTCAGGATCACTGAGTAGTTCTGCCACACAAGAGCCATTCCAGGACCCAAGTGTCTGCCATCTTGTTTCTCTGCTGTCCCCTGTGGCATTGTCCCTTGGATTGAGCTGGCTAGAGGGTAGAAGAGTACAAGGTGGCTCTGCATGGTTAGATCCCCTGTAAAGGGTGCCATGCACAGCCACGTGGGCACACATACCCAGCAGGAGAGCCTAGGAAGTGCCATGTGCCTGGCCAGCCAAGTGCCCGGGCTCTCATGTTTAGAAGGAGGGGGAGAGAGTTTTAGTGGACTGCTAGCTCCTGCTGGGACAGTACCTTCTGCATTAGCTGTCACTTGCCCTCAGGGCCTCTCCTCTTTTAGCCTAGGGTGCACGGCCTACTCTATAGCCCTCCCTTACAATTATCCTTCACTTCCTTGCTGCTCTGCCCGCTTCATACTCATTTAGAAAAACCTCAACTCTGTACATGTCTGTGTTTGAACACCTGGAAATTGATGCAGAAAAAAAATAGGTCCGTTCTTAAACCCGTGACTGTAGACCTAAAATGGGCACTTGACACTGGTGACCCATCCTTATATATGTGCCCGGCCTGTTTACCCTCCCACTCCCTGAAACTACTATTTTCCACCTTCACCTTCCTCTCTTTGAAATTCCTGTTTCTCAGCCGGTCACCTTGCCACTTCCTTTTTGGCAGAAATAGAAATAATCAGAGCATTCCTTTCCCTTTGCTTTCCTGTGTGTGCCTGTTGATCTTGACTGGATTAAGAGACTCCTGGAGAGGAAGTTGGATTGTTAGGTGCTAACTCAATCCATATGAGGAGTTATCCCATGGATTAGTTCACAGGTGAATGGGCTGGTAGGAGGTGGGGCCTCATTGGAGGAAGTGGGTCAGGGGGCCTTGGCCTTGGGGACTGTATCTGGTCCCTGACCCCTTTCTCGTCAGCTCTTCCTCTGCTCCCTGCTTCCCCGGTGCCATGAGTTTAGCAAATTTTCTTCACCACACCCTTCCACTGTGTTTCTGCCTTGAAGCCCCTGACCAGGGACTGAAACTGTGAGCCAAAGGTAAGCCTCTTCTTTAATATGCAGTATATTGTCCTGGCAGTGTAAAGCTGACTGTCTGACTTGCATCTGCATTTGTTTCCTGCCTTTCCTCTGGTTCCAGGGAATAAAATATCCCTACTTCCCCAAAACACCATACCTTCTACCTGGCCACTGAGTCCTGTCTCCTTTTGACTTCTCAGAAAACTCTAGACTTTGTTCCTACAATTATTTTTCTTTCTTGCATGGCCTCTCTTGTGATAGGTCATCCACATTACCAAACTGAGATGAGTGATGGCGAACCTTTAAGAGCTTTCAGTGACATAGCCTGCTGTGGCATGCGTGCCATAGGTTTGCCACTGTGGACCCTGCTTCACCTTTAGTGACTATCCATTTCTCTATTTTTCACAGTAAAACTTCTCAAAAGAGTTCCCTAAATGTTTTCACCTCCCTGTATCCCAGTTTTCTATAATCCACATCAGAGAAGTTTCTGTCCTCAACATGCCACTGAAACTAGTCTATACAGCAGTCCACTCTTATCCCTCTCTTACTCAGCTTCCCAGTGTTGGACAGACTTGATTTCTGTCTGTATTCAGAAACATTTGGTTTTCTGGTTTCTAGGACAGCACTTGTTTCTGAATTCCCTCCTCCTTCCTAATTGTTACTTCTTGGTTCCCTCTGCTGGCTCCTTGTCAGCTGCTTACCTTTAGCTTTTGAAATGTCCCAGCCTTTGACCTTAAATTCTCACCTCTTTTTCTCTATATTCTTTCTTTAGTTGATAGCATCCATTCCCATAGTTTTAAATTCTAGCTATCTACTGATGACTCTGAAAGCTGTAACTCCCGGCCTGACCCCTTCCTTGAGCTCCAGACTCATATGTTCCATGACTTATATGACATCTTCATTTGGATAGAAGAGGTATTTCAAAGCTAGCATAACACTGACCTCCACCCGTCTTTCCTTCAAGGTATCCCATTTGGTTTCAATATCTATACCCATTTACTTGGGCTAAGAATGTAGGAATTCCTCTCAGTTTTTATCTCACTCCACTCTTGGGATGTGCCATGAGCAGTCCAAATCTATCATTACAGTTTCATAGTCCTTGTTAGTGACTAAAATAGAATCCTGGACCAAAGCTAGGCAGTGGGAAGGGTTAGATAGGGACATCGTGTGTCTGGATTCAGGTCAGTCATACAATGAAGAGAATTTTTTTTTTGAGAATGTCAATGAGGAAACATGTACCCCACATTTCCATTACCCAAGACCTGATGATCATACTCAAAAAAGAAAAAAAAGAAAAAGCCTTAGGATAAGATAAAACTAACCTGGATGCAGAATGAAGAGTAGGGATTTGGAGTACATAACTCTGATAGCCACCCTACATCAGAATGTCCAGTTCCATGAGACAATAAATGTCCTCATTTTCAAGTTTCTTTGAGTTGGATTGTCTCTTAGAGTTGAAAACAAATTAATATATGCAAAGAGAAAGGTCCCTGTGGAAAGATTCATGCAGTTTTTGCTGGCTGGGTACCTTTTTAGGTTCAGTCTCAGTTTGCATGAAGCCAAGTGATGCTAGGACTCCTGTTGAGTTTTCATAAGGTTCCTGGCTGTCCCATAGCCACCTGCAGCCATGCTTGAGCTGTCCTGGGTGGGTTTTATTGGGGGCATCGAGATAGGGGCTCACTATGCAGTTCAGGCCGGCCTTGAACTCACTCTGTAGTCAAGGCTGGCCTCGAACTTGTGTACATCCTCCTGCGTCAGCCTCCCAAGCACTGAGATTATAGGTGTGGACCACCACACCTGGCTTGGCCTGAGTATTTCTTATAATTTCGAGGATTTACTAAAGTGGGGGATAAAGCACTCAGCTCACTGTATCCTTGATCTGTATTAAGTTCTCAATCCCTATGTGTGTTTATGTATATTTTATTCCTAAAGGATCTAAGGTATC